ATCCTTAATTGGGAGTCAATCCTTAATTGGGATCTCATCCTTAATTGGGGTCCGATCCTTAATTGGGAGTCAGTCCTTAATTGGGGGCTCACCCTTAATCAGGATCTCATCCTTAAGTGGGGCCCGATCCTTAATTGGGCTCCAGTCCTTAATCGGGAGTCAATCCTTAATCGGGATCTCACCCTTAATCGGGATCTCACCCTTAATCGGGATCTCACCCTTAATTGGGGGCTCACCTTTAATCAGGATCTCATCCTTAATTGGGCTCCGATCCTTAACGAGGGTGCTGACCCCTGGCAGTGGGGATCACACCCCCCTCCCCCCCCCCAAGCACCCCTGTGGGTGGGAAAGCCACCGCCGGGCCATGGCAAAGCCACCGCCGGGCGCCATTTGCATATTAATTACCTAATTAAGCCCCTCCCACCCTTAACAACACCCGGGATTGCGCTTCCCGGCGCCGCATTTCCTCTCCTCCTTCCGCCAACTCCCTCCTCCCGCTAAAACGCGATCCCATTAACGAACGACTCCCTTCCCGCATCGCTAATTACCCCTTTCCCAGGGGGGGTTAATTGAGGAGGGAGGTTAATTACCGGAGAAGCACGGCGGTGATATCCATCCGTCCCATCCAGACGTCGCCTTCCTCACTTTCTTCTTCAAACGATTGGAACGGAACCGGAGCGGTCGTTACGAAGAAGAATTCCCTTTTCTTTCCCTTTGCGGTCGCGAACGTAATTTCCTTCGTTGCGACGATCGTCCCATCGTCTTCACCCAACTCTTGAGCGACGCCGCTCAACGACGGTTCCTCTCCTACTGCGGCGCCGGCGAAAGGTTGACCGTACCCTTTCAACCGGAGAGTTTGGTCATGTTACCGACTAACGGACGGCTCTACCACCCGGCGCCGGCGAAAGCGGGCGGCGTCGGTTTGGTACGGTCGGCGTTGGCCATGGAATGGAGTTCCTCTTTCGAGTACGGAGAAGGATGGACGCGACCCCCCACCCATTTTTTTTGGGAAGGGCGACGGTACCGCCTGACCGAGGAATTGCTGCCTTTGTTGGGCGGCGGGGGAACGGGGGACGGCGGGGAAACGCCGGCCGTCCCCGCCACCCCCC